CCTCACATTACGCAAGGAGAAAGGCTCACAAGTGGTTGGTACCCTCACCATTGAACTAAACGATTTACACGTACAACAATCAAGCAACACGCCTAACAATAGTTCGCCAGCGCCTAACGACGAGACCACATCCACAACAGCCACGCCCAATCGTACTGAATCTCCAATAGCACCTGTTGCTTCAGCCCCGCCCCCTTTATCTGAGCCTCTGTTGAATGTCACTCCTAGTCCTCAGATTTCGCGGCAAACCTCGCCCGGTGGACCAGAGCCGTCCCAACCAGTAAACCAGGGTCCCTCCCCTCAACCGGTAGACCGGCGTCCTTCTCCTCAAGCCACTCCACCGGTGTCTGTATTGACCACACCCACTCCTGATCCAAGAGGGGCGGGTCAGGCTCCTCCTCCTCCTATTCGACCTTTTCAAACTCCCTCTCTCCATCCATCGGGGCTACAGCAACCACCACAACCAGCTCCACCCACCAGCTCAATGCCAGGTCAGCAATTTTATTCTACATGTACCGTATAGCGGGAAATTTTGGAGGAGATGAAATTTGGTGAATTTGGCATTTTGATAGCCATTCACCAAAATAAAATCCACCATTTTGAGCCATTATACACATGCTCAATGGCATGTGGCCACAAAATTTGCCAAATTAAAATTCGTCAACCAAATTTTAGTCCCTTTAAAATTTCCCACTATACGGTATATGTAAAGCTCACCGCTGTGTAATTTAATTCCTTTGAACATTTGCATAAATACATATTTTGTATAGTATTATTTATTTGATGTTATTTTTATATTTTATTTAGCTGCTGCAGCTGCTAACAGAGGCAACCCTCCTCCACTACCAAGAGGGTAAGTAATTAATATGAAATGATAATTAAATGTACATGTAATAGTCAAAAATATTTTACTAATTCTGTTTCCTCATTTCTCATTTTCACCCTCTTTGATGGCATTCTCCCTAATTGTACACCTAACGTATGTTCTTCTATCTTACAAGTTATTATTCTCCATTTCTCTCTCTCCCTCCCTCCCTCCCTCCTTCCCTTCCTCTCTCCCTCCCTCCCTCCCTCTCTCTCTCTCTCTCTCTC